GGACATCTCTGGGGGCCATGGAAATATGAACTTCATGTCTTTGGAATGAAAGGGAAAGTGATTTCTATATGTAGACACCTCTGGAAGAAACAACAGGATTTCTGGACTAAAAATCATTCAGAAATAACTTACGTGTTATATGTAAAGCCTGGAGAGTGACCAGTTAGAATCAGATAGAGTCACAGATAACATATAACACAAATAATAGTGTTTTAAATAAAATTGAAATTTCCTTTCAATTATATGAAGTCTATAGGAAGGAAGTCCAGGGCTGTTAGATCATGCAACTTGTCAGGGACCTGGACTTTAATCATAATACCCTGTTATCTTCTGGATGCATCTTCCACCTCATGACCCTAGGTGGTTCTTCCAGCTCCAACTATCACATCTACATTCTAAGCAGCAGAAAGAAAGATGAGACAATTAAAAAGGCAGGAAATGGCATCTGAAATTTTCTTATACAGAGATTTCTTTGAAGCTACTATACGTCACTTTTGTTTATTGCATATTGGTCATAACTTAGTAGAGGCTGGGAAATATCATTTCTCCAGATGGCAAGATGAGAACAGATAAATAATGCAGTAGACATCTGACAGCTTCTGTTACAAATCCCAAGAGCAAGAGCCCAACACTGTACCTGGGATCAGAGAGCTGCCTGTCCCTTACCCCTGGTAACAAAGAGGCCTCCACCTCACACAATCGCATGGCAGCAATAGGGGCCCCTCTAGAGTCATCAGCAGCCATACCCCATAATTGTGAGGTCTGATCCCTATGAGCTGATTCTCACTGGTCCTGTTTAAATGCTAAGGAGGGGTTACCCCAGTTTACTCCCACACTAGCCCTCCAGTTATCTTGAGAACTTCAGCGTGGACAAATCTTGCCTCTTGGAGTTTCATCCCATAACACACAATCACTCCAAGTAAAGCCTTGAACACCAGAGCATTTAGGAAAATACTTTCTCATATTTTCTAATTTCCCCCCAAATCTTCAGGTCTTTGAATGACACACAAGAGGTACATAGAATCTTTTTGTCAGCACCGAACATAAATATTTTCTGTATCCTGGACAGAACATATAAGAGTGGTGACCAAGGAAACAGCAGGGAAAATGGAGACAGGAGGAAGAGGAAGAGGAGACAGAAATTCACAGAGGGAAGAAATGGTGGGTCACGAGAAAGAGGGAGGAAGGGCCAGGGCTGCGCCAGCTCTGCACAAACTTGGAAATGAATCAGTTTCTTTTCAGGACTTTTCTATCTTTGGACACAATCCCCTTCTCTTATCCCCATGTCCCCACACCCTGCTAGTCACCTTGAGGTCATCCTTAGAATTGCAGTGACCGGTTTCTCCCTTTCTTTGTCCAAATCAAAAGTGATCTCTGCTGCACTGTTTATAGGAACTCACATACAAGATAACATTTAAATAATGACTAGCGAATTGTAGGTTCTCAAAATTTGTTTTATTTACCCACTTCCGCAATGATCCAGATAAGAACATGCTCCTAGAAGTCATATTTACATTGCAGAGGATATTTCAAAGCATAAACCCAAAGATACATTAGTTGGCTTCAATAGAGTCCTAGCAAAGGAATCCTAGTAGGAGGTGCCCCTGCAGGGTGGGAGCTCTACAGCCCCAGGAGGAAGGACAGAGAGGTGACATAGGGCTCACTTTACCACAGAAGGGGGATGTGCCCTCACAGTGTCAGCTCCATAATAAGTGACTAATTCATAATGAATAAATGTGTGACAGGAGGAGTAAAGCTGAGGGGTAAGTTTGAGAGAACCAGGAGTGGATGATGGAGTATGTAGGGACTGACCATGGTGAAAAACCTTACCCGCTCCCAGCCTGAAGAGGCAAAGGGAAGGTGTGGCTGCAGATCCAGAGAACGCTGAGGCTGTGGGGTAGTCGTGACATTCTGGACAATACAGCCATTACCCAACAGGCAGCCTCATGGGAAGGGACAAATACCTGAATTTCTTTCTATTCCCACTCTACAATCTTTCACAGGGCCACCCCCGTTGGCCATACCCACTGGAAGCCAAAAGCACAAGGGAGCCTGCGTAACATAGTCTGAAGGACTCATTCTTCCAAGGGTGGGATGGAAAGAGGTGGACAGGGAACATCAAAGGCAAAAAAAAAAAAAAAAAAAAAAAAAATTAGCGCTGTAGCTTTTATTGTTTGTTTCTGTCCTGGGGTTTGAACTCAGGGTCTCATACATGATAAGTGCTAGACCACTAAGCTACAATCCCTAGTCCCACTTCTAAAGTTTTTAGAAGTTTATACTTTAGTTGTTCCAGAGACAGATTTATATACATAAAATTCCAATAGAAGGCAGTGACTGGAGACAAGCAGAAGGTCAGACAAGGTGACTTCATTGGGGTAGAAGATCCCCACTGGGAGCTGAGGGAAATAAAGCAGGAGAGTTAGTAGGACCACTCAGTGGGCCCTACTAACTTTAAAAGACTTAGGGCTGAAAAAACAAAACCGAGCAGAGGAGCCTTCAAGGTCCTTCACCGAATGTACCATATAACTCACTTTATAAAAAAATTCAATGGCTGCTGGCAGGCCCTGAGTGTGGTCTGGAGGTCTCCAAATCCTTAGATCAGATAGAATCATCAACCAAAATAACTCTCTCCTTCTCCCACTTCCTTCTTTCCTTTCTTCTTTTCAGCAAATATGAGTTGAGTCCTTCACAATGGCAGGCAGTGGGCTAGCCGTGTGCTCCTGGTTGGCTTCAGCTCTCAGGTGGCCCTTCTTCGCCACCTCTTTCTCTCTGTCTTGTAAGACCAGCCTTCCTGAGTCTTTTTGGAGGAACAGTGATGTGTCATTGTGGCTTGGCAGGCAACCATTACTGCTTAAGGAGGAAAGAAGTGAGATGTGAAGTGTTTCCAAAGCAGTTAACTTCGTGGACGGAGGAGTGGAAGGAAATACAGGGATTACAGAAATCCTGGTTAAGAAGGCAAAGGCTGCGTGTGGGTCAACAGGAAAGAGGAATGTATGGGATGTTGTCACATGTTCTAGGGAGAAAAATATCCGAATACTAGCTCATGCCCCTTGTCATTTTCCCCTTGCATAAGGAACTGGCACAAATATAAAGGAAAAATTGCTGCAGCAGGTGGAGGCAGAGGCTTCTCTCAGCTCACTTGACCTAGAACTGACCCTTTGTCAGAATTTAGCAGTATACGAGATCAATTCAAATAGTCCTATAACCATGAAGCAATGCAGACAGACTCTTGGACACTTGGCATGAGTTTCTGGCAGCTCCCTTGCACACATGCCTTCCTCACCCTGTTTGTAAGAAATTGTCTGTTTATCTTTCCTTCCTGCTGCCAGTGACTGATTTCATCATTTCTTTAGGGAGCTATTTTTCAGTCTCTTTCTCCTCTGTCCCTGGGAGCCACTCAGTATGTGTGGCCAGCCTTCGCATGTGTGCCTCAGTATCTCTGAGGCCTCCCTCTAGCTTCCTGTTCTCATTGAATTACTACTGTATGTTGGGCAATGCATTTAATCGCTTTTATAGCATCTCCTTTTCCTCATGACTCTTTAAAATCAGTAGTGCCTCCATATTAATCACAGCATAGTGGTTAAGAGCACAAGGCTTTTTCTGATATTAGCAGCAACATGATTTTGGATAAGTCACTTAATGCTTCTGAGCCTTAGTTTCCTCATCTGTAAAAGGGAAGATAATTGTTCCAATTTCATATGATTATTGGGGGAAATTAAATGAGTCAATACATGTAAATACTGGGCCTCATGTCTGACCCATCATGAGTGTGTGATAACTATGCTTTTATTATCACTGCTCTTGGGGTTATGATTATGGCTTGGGGCTCAGCGTAGTCCTCTTTGGAACACATGTGCTGATTTCATCTATGAATTTCTTTCTGCAATTGGTTACAGGAGTCTTCTAAGTATGAAGACATCTCAGCTTTCTCTCCATATAAACCCCATTTTCCCATGAAGAGGAGATGAGGGTAGGTACCAAGCTCATTGAAGGCCACTGTAGCTTCTTTCTGAAGCTTCCTCACAATCAGAGAATCAAATAATGTTGGAACTAGAAGTTCTTAGACATTGTTTAGCTCACATGGGGCATTCATCAGATGAAAAAAATAATAAAGAGACTTTCAAGTTATGATCACATCAGGACTAGTGGTAGTATGAATTAAAAACCATTTCTTTGACCCCAGTGCATTCTTCCTACCCCACTGGAGTGCTTCATATTTTCATGTTTTACATATCTGTCTGCCTATTATCTACCTATATATTCATCTTTCTCTCTCCCCCCATCATCATCATTATCTGTCCATCTGTTGTCTAATCAAGTTCTATTTTTTTCCCTTCGTTAGATCTTCTACAGATCCCAGCTTATGGAGAAGGGAAGCTGAGCTGCTGTGGCCGAAGGGCAGGGCCTTGATTCCTGCACTCTGGTCTTTTCTTTGTGCTATTCAGTAGCCCTTGAGACTGCCCACATTATTATCTTATCGGGACATGTGCTTCTGTTGCTTTGGCAAGATTTCAAACTTTTTTTTTTTTTTAACAAGTTTTCGTGGTTAGAAATTCTGAAGTTATTCTTACAAGGGAGCTGTCAACTAATACTCACCCTAGGATGCACTGTAAATGGTGAGGTTTTTGAACAGATCACCCTGAACTTTGGTCTCTTCCAGGAGCCTGAAGCCAGCTTGACTCTGCATCACTAGCCAAGATTCTGTAGAGAGGGAAGGACCCTAAAGCAAACAAGCCCACACCCCACTTTCTTTAATCCAAGCATTTCTGCCCTCAGCTTGCAGCACACTAGGATGGAGTTCCCAAAACTCCATTTAATTTTCTTGGCTTCTGTATTTACTCAGTTACAACTGGGCCAGAAGGGTCTTGGCACCAAAAGCCTGCAAAGAAAGGGCTGTTCTGTTGAACTCTGTTGCTCAATTTTGCAGACATTTTAGGTTCACATAAGGTTGTGGGTGGCCTATCAGTTCTTTCTACATGTTGTTCTGAAATGAACCCAAACCCCGCCACTTTCTGAGATTCCCTGGGGAAATTGTGGCAATAAGAAGCAGACATTCCAGATTTTAAAGCCAAGTGTTCCTAAGGGCCATCTCTTCTCCATGTTCTTTTTACCAGTCATATCCTCCTCTTTATGTAAGGTCAGGGGGAACAATGGTCCCAGCCTTTTCGAAGAATCGGCCCCTAAGTGCTGCCTGGCGGCATCTGTGCACATGTTCTGGCCACTGACCTGAGAAGGTGAGTAGTTTCTGCCTTACCTTTCCTAGCTTCTACTTGCTTTTAAACCACCAAGTTCAGCCAGGTCAATGGACCCTTCCACTGTAGAGGTTCTAATGAGAGATATATGTGTAGTTTCTTTCCTACCTCAGGATCCATGTGCTCTCTCTCTCTCTCTCTCTCTCTCTCTCTCTCTGTGTGTGTGTGTAAAGGGGAAAGGCAAATTTAAGGAGCTTTATTATCTTCTAAGTTCCATGAGGTCAGAGAACTTACCTACCATGTTTAATGATGTGTCCTCTGGGCTTGGCACATACCTGAACTTAGCACCCAACCAATACTGAATGGGTTGAAGGGATAAATGAATGTCTGCCTTCCTCTATCAGTACATTGTATTGGTCAGCTAAAACTTATACCTGAGATAATCAACTTATAAAGAGTAAAGGTTTTTTTTTTTGGCTCACAGTCTTGAAAGTTTCAGTCCTTGATTGGTTTTTCCTGTTGCTTTTAGGCTTTTGATGAAGTAGCACGTCATGGTAGAGACATGTGGGAGATGAAGACTACTTGCCTCATGATTAGTGTGTTAGTTATCTGTTAGGTGAAAGAAAAACCTGAGAGCAATGACTTATAAAGAGAAAAGGTTTACTTTGGCTCACAGTTTCAGAGCCTTCAGTCCATGATCAGTTGGCCCTGTTACATTTGAGTTTGTGGCAAGGTGGCACATCCTAATGGGAGCACATGGTGGAGAAAGCTGTTCATTTCTTAGTGTTGGGAAGCAAAAGAGTGTGAGACAGGAAGGGACCACGGTCTCAATACCTACTTGAGGGCATGTTCTCAATGACTTAACTTCTTCCCACTAGGCCCTACCTCCTAACAGTTCTACCACCTCCCACTAGCACCACAGGCTGGTGATCAAGTTTTTAACACATGGAAGACATTCAGGATCCCAACAATAACAGCTAGCAAGTGAAAAAGAGAGGAAGAGATAGGATCCCACAATCCCCTTCAAGGATATACCCCCAAGGACCTGAAAACCTCCCACTAGGACCCAGCTCTTAAAGCTTCCACAACCTTCCAATGGCCCCACCATGGGACCAAACCTTTAATATGTGGGCCACTGGGGAATACTGCATAGCCAAACTGTAGCACATCTTTTCTTCCCCCCCCCATAGCTTTGTTGAGATAAAACTGAATTACAATAAAATGCACATATTTTAAGTATGCAACTTGATCAGTTTTGATATGTATATACCAATGCAATAAATGTAAAAAACATTTCCATTACTTTTTTAAAATTTGAAATCATGCAGATTTCAAATTTATTACATTAGAAATCAGTCACCTTTAGATATATAGAACCCCACCCCCACATGCCAATTATTTCAAAATTAAATGGCACATTTATAAATATCTCAGAAATCAAGGAAGAAAGCACCAGAAAAGTAAATATAAAGTGCTTTGAACTAAGTGATAATAAAAGCTTAAAATATCAGGATTTCTGGGATGAAATAGAACCCGGATGTTCACTTGTAACTTAAAGTACTTGTATCAGAAAGAAGCTAGAGTAACAATCAAATTATTTTCCAACTATGTAATAGGAAGGCAAAATGAGAGTAGGAGCAGAAATATATAAAAAAGAGAAGAAATATTACAGTTAAAATTTGATAAAAATCAAACAAGTCTAATAAAGAAAAAAGCAAGAACAAAAATTAATATTGATGGAAAGGGAGCTATCAAAATAACCTTACAGATGTTAAAATATATTAAGAAAATATTATAATTGTATGCCAACATATATGGCAGCTTATATAGCATGGTTAGCAGCATATCTTTTCTTCCATCTCAGAGTTAGAAAGTGAGCCAACCTCTCAGATCCAGGACAAGTACTTCAGTAGATTGTCTGATAGTATCCATGGATAGTTAGTAGGGCTACTCTTAAGTCTAGAAGGTCATTTATATGTGTGTTTTGAAGGTTGTTGGGGGTTCTTAACATCCAAGTAATCCTATAATTCAAGACTCAACAGCTCAACATTTTAGATGAATTTATTTGGGTCTTGAATGCTCTTTGTATAGCAGGAGTTCTCTGTGAGCATGCTGATATTCTAGGCAAGGTGAGGGGGGCACCCCCTATGGATTGTTAGTAAAATGGAACAGCAAGGTGCCAAGGGAAGAACATTGGATCTGGAGTCTGATGAACCTGAGTTCTAACCTCAGTTTCACCATTCATCATCTGTGGGACTTGGACAAGTTGTTTGTCCTTTCTTGATGGGCTCCTTATCTGCAAAATAGGTCTAATAATACCTGCCTCCCAAACTCATGAATATTAAATGATACTGAGTATGTAAGGTGTTCTTTCATGAATTAGCACATAGGAAATACTCAAACTGAGGTCTTTCCCATACTTTTCTCCTTCCTAAGAGCAAGGCCCTAGTGAACAGGCTATTGGGGGGTGGGATGGTAGAGAAAATAAAGGTGGTGAGAATGAATCTTGTCATAGTAAAAATCTGTCTGAGACCAGTCCCATTGACTAATATTCTCTGGTTGACACTTTTCTGGTTATATTATTTTATTGAAGAGGTACTTCCATTGGGGAGTATTAACTCTCTCAGCACATGGTTTGGCGATCAGCCTGTGCTTTTGAGCACATTTGAAAAATTACCAATTTTTTTTTCCCTTGGGAAGATGCATCCCTGAGCCAAGATGCTCTGCTTTGTAGGGAGAATCACAAGGCAATTTTATCCCTCAGCCACTTGCCCCTGTGCAGTGAACCACCTGTCCCATCAACCAAAGAGACTACAATCTACAGTAAATGTGGACTGAGTTATTAAATATAGTAGAAACTGTGGAGACAATCTTCTCATTAATTCAAAATATCTGGTTCAAATCAGTTAAATTATTGACTCTAACCTAGAGCAGGCTTAGGATAGGAGTAAACACTCGAAAGCTGGGTTTTATCATCCATAAAGAAGTCATAACATTACCATATTACATATCTATTGCTGTCTAACAAATCACCCTAAAATTCAGCAGCTTAAAAAAGAACAAGCATGCATTATGTCATACAGTTTCTGTAGGTTGGGAATGAGGGAGAAGATTAGCTGGTTGGTTCTAGCTTGGGATCACTCATAAGGCCATGGTCAAGATGCTAATCAATTAATGTAGTATAATATATCAACAGAACAACAACAACAACAAGCCCATTATCATCTCAACAGATACATAAAAAACAATCAACAAATTCAACACACTTACATGATCCAAACACAGAACAAACCAGGAATGGAAACATGGCAAAGGATATCTATTAAAAAATTCCTAGAGCTAATATCATGTTAGTGATGAAAGACTGGATGTTTTTTCTGAAGATCAGAAACTAGACAAGAATGTTGTTCTTGCCTCTTTTATTCAGCATTGTACCAGAAGTTCTATCCAGGGTAATTAGGCAAGAGAAAGAAATAAAATCCAGTAACACTGGAGAAAAAGAAATGAAACCATCTCTGTTCAAAGATGACATAGTCTTGTGTACAGAAAATCTTAAGAAATCCACCAAAAAATTATTGGAATCAATAAATGAGTTCATCAAGATTGCAGGACACAAAATCAATATACAAAACTTTATTGTACAAAATATCCCAAAATACAAAATACACAATATATAAGAAAGTACAAAAAATGTTGAAAGAAATAAAAAAGATTCAAATAAATGGAAATTATCCCCTCCCATGTTCATGGATCAGAAGGCTTAGTAGTGTTAAGATGTATTACCAAAACTGACCTACAGATTCAATTAAATACCTGTTAACATCTCAGCTGGCTCTAAAATTCATATGGAATTGCAAGGGTTCAGAATAGCTAAAACAATCTTGAAAATCAAGAACAAAGTTGGAGGAGTCACATACTTTTTGATTTCAAAACTCACTAAAACAGCAGTATTCAAGACAATGGAGTACTGACATAATGACTGATGCATAGACTGATGAAATAGAATGAAGAGTCCAGAAATAAACCCATTTGTCTATGGTCAATTGATTTTTTTTAATCTTATTTATTTTTATTATTTTTTACTTCTTGATGGACCTTTATTTTATTTATTTTTATTATTTTTTACTTGCTGATGGACCTTTATTTTATTTATTTGTATGTGGTATTGAGAATTGAACCCAGTGCATCATGCATGCTAGGCAAGCACGCTATCAATGAGCCACAACCTCAGCCCCTCAATTGAGTTTTAACAAGGGTGCCAGCATATCCAATGGGAGAAAGAGAGTCTTTTCAGCAAATGGTGCTAGAACCACTGGGTATCCACATGCAAATAATGAAATTGGAGTCTTACCATGAGCAAAAGTTAATTCAAAGTGAACCAAGGGCCTAAATGTAAAGATTAAAACTACAAGACTAGTAGACAAAAATAGAGGTAATTTTCATGACCTTAAATTTGGCAGTAAATTCTTAAATATAAACCCAAAACATGAACCACAGAAGAAAAAAAATAGGCAAATTGGACTTCCTTAAAATTAAAGTGTTTTTTGTTTCAAATAATATTTTAAAAGTAAAATCTACAGAATGGAATAAAGTATTTTCAAATCATATATGTGATAAAAGATATGTATCTTAAATATATAAAGAACACTTAGTAAAAAAATAAATAACTTGGTTAAAAATGGCCAAAGGATCTGAATAGACATTTCTCCAAAGACTATATACAAATGACCAATAACACATGAAAAGATGCTCAACATCATTAATCACTAGGAAAATACAAATCCAAACCACAATGAGATGTCACTCATACCCACCCAGGATGGCTAGAGTCAAAAAGTCAAACATAACAAGTGTTGGTGGGTTGTGGAGCAATCAAAACACTCATATACTCCCAGTGGGGATGTAAAGGGTTCCAGCCACTTTGGAAAACAGTCTGGAATTTCTACAAATGTTTAAACATAGAGTTACTTTATAACACAGCATTCCATTCCTAAGTATACCTCCAAGAGAAGTTAAAAGCTATATCTATATAAAAAGTTGAA